AATGAAGAAATATATAAAAGCTAGGAATTCTTAATTTGTTTATGACATAAAATTCTGATCCCACTAAAAATTACATTTTATAAACTGCGAGACAATTTGGCTTGCTACTACTTACCCTATAATAAAACCGGGGTATGGTCTTATAGAATTCATTTGTGTTTTTTCCACCTCCTTTCCATTCAGAGTAGTACCTAGTAAATAAATCCATTTCTTCATCTTTTAATTCCTGCTCACTTTTCTTTTCTGGTAACAAAATAAATTAAGAAGAGAAGCACTTTTAATGTCAAATTTTTACTTGAGTCTGGATACTTTAGTCTTAAAGTTATATTGCCAACATCTATGTTCTTTATTTAAACATCAATATTAACTTTCCTCAGCCACAGCCATGCTGAGACCACTCTCCACACATCCGGACAAGCCTCATGCATAAAGGAACCTGCAGAGGAACCCAGGCATGCAGGTCCTGGGGCTGAGATCTCCAAGCATGCTCGGATCGGGACTGGGCCTTTTCCACCCAGATCCCCCATCTTCCAGTAGGTAGGCGTTACACCCACCAGCTGCTGTCGGCGCCAGGTGGTCCCATCAATGGCCAAGACCCAGAGACTATAAATCCCAGCTCCCGGAAGCGACATCTTATTATCTCGTTTTTACTTTGGAGAACCCGGTAGGCTACCGAAAGTATCCTGCCCGCACGGCAGAGTCTGGCAAACTTCCTGTGTTGTACTCAATATGCCAAATAGCAGTAACAATGATAGGTCTCATTCTCTTAGCCCTAAAAGAGCATTGAATATGGCTCTTTTAAAATCTCAGGGTTAAGAAGAAGGAGACATTACTGGTGTCTGCTCGAGGCAATCTACGAACAACAGGATGATCGTGATCGTGATTAACTTTCCTTAAATACCAAGAATGCACTGAAAAAACCTCCCATCTTAAACCATATCTCTGTAATTCCTCTACTTCCTTTAGCAATGTAATTGACTCTTCTCAAGTTCCTCGAACTCTCTTATAGACCTTCGGCACATTCTTAATTCAATCACAAGTATTGACAAAGCACATGCTATCTTACACAGAGCACCTTACTAGACACTGGGCTCGAGTTTACTGGGGGGAAAAAAAAGGTACAGCCCTTGACCTCATGGGGTTTCTGCCTTCTAGTCACATTCCTGTACCTAATGTCAAACTCTTCCATCTTCAGCACCCTTTTGGGCACTTTCACCCTTCCTTCTACCTGCTCATTGGAATTTAGCTCCAAATTCTGTCACTTGTGGGCTACAGCAACTAGTGCATCCTGCTCTTCACCTCTGATTATGAACCAGTATATTCTGCATCTAATTTCTTTTTTGCCCATGGTTTGTTGACAAACTGGATGTGGGCACTGAAATAAGACAGTACTCCTAGATATCTCTGAAAGTATTTCTGATCCTCAGTTGTAGAGATCAAACCCAGAGCCTCTCACATACAAAGTAAATGCTCTATTTTGAGCTATCTTCCCATCCGCCCCCTAGAAACTGACCTGAGTCGGTGGGACCTCCTGCCAATTTCTTTGTTCTTTATTTTATTTTATTACTGCTACTTTCTAAGAGATAAAATTGAGTGGAAGAAAAGAAGCATCTGTTGGGAGAAGTTAAGGCTAACTAACGTATGTATTAGATACAAGAGGCAATGTCAAGTAGGCAATTGGATATAGAAATGGGAAGAGGTTTCATGGGAAGGGGGGCGTTTCGCTCCGCCCTTCACGCCCTACCGAGGCCACCGGTTGCCCCCCCGCGAGCGGCTCTCCAGCATGGCCAGGACTCCAGAACACAGAAACCAATTTCTTAACTATCTGACTTTCAGTAGAAATACTTCCAGGGTCAATAGGTAAAAGAGCAGAAATCCAAAACCAACATTTAATTCTTGAACCCAGCCGTAGAAAGCAAATCACTTCACAATGCTTTTTCAACATGTCTGATTGGGGGGGGGGGGGGGTAAACTCTAAATAATAGTGGTGAATCTTTTATTGAAACAATGAATCTAATCAAAGCAGATAGAGTGTTAACTAGAATTCATCTGCCTCACAGGGACGGGGAGGGGTGGGGGGTGGGGTTTTATTGGGGTTCTTCATGGTAAAAAATAAGTATTGGTAAAGGGAAATGTGTTTGATATTTGCATGACTGAGACCTAAACCTGAAAGCTTTGTAACCTTTCCCACAGTGATTCAATAAATAAATTAAAAAAAAAAAAAAAAAAAAAAGAAATGGGAAGAGGTTTAAGTTAGAGATACAAATTCAGGAGACAATAGAAAATATAGTGTTTAAACCCAGTAAGACTATAATTTCACTATGAAGATCAATGAAAGCAGTATAAGCTCAACAAAGAGTTAATCTTGGCATTCCAATGATAACTTATTAAGAAGTGGGGAAGCAAAAGACTGAGAAAGGATAACGAGCAAAGCAAGAAGAAAATTAAGAGTGTGTTACCCAGAAACAGAGAAAATGCATGAAGAAAAAGTTAAATAGCTACATTTCTTGGTATAGACTACTGGCCAAGCAAATAAAGGGAAAACTAAAAACTGGTCCCTGAAACATGATATAGATCAGGTCTACAACAGGGAGCTTCAACCACCGGTCTATGGATTGACACTGGCCTGCAGGTGTACAGTTTGAAACCCACTGGTCTATTACTTTGGTTGTAACTGCTAGTATGTGAACAGGTATGATGCCCAGGTAGTGACCTGCAGTTGTGAAAAGATTAAAGAATGCGATTCTACAAGATTCCCTGGCAAATAGGACTTGGAGAGACAAATATAGATTTAACCAACAACCCTTTCGACAAGTGTTGCTGTAAAGGGATCAGAGAAAGGAGGCATAGCTAGAGGTGGACATGGAGGGCAGTTTCTCTTAAGATGAGAGAAATATCACCCTGTTCGTATGATGATGACAATGACTAAGAGAAGCTGATAACTCAGGAGGTGACAACTGTGATAACAGGAGGGAAAGTGGTTTCTAACACGCTTGAAAGGAAATAGCCTGAACAACTGTACAGCCTATTGGATTTATCACTTGACTTTCATCTCCATACAAAGCATAAGTCAAGGAGTTTTTGTCTGTCTCACTTGCTGCTGTAAGCCTAGAACAGTACTTGGCAGTACCTAATGGAAATGCAAAGAAGAGGGTTTAAAGAGTGAAGGTGGGGCCGGAGAGATAGTACAGCAGGTAGGGTGTTTGCCTTGCTGGCCCAGGTTCGATCCCCGGCATCCCATATGATCCCCCAAGCACCGCCAGGAGTAACTCCTGAGTGCAGAGCCAGGAGTAACCTCTGAGCATAACTGGGTGTGATACCAAAAAACTAAAAAAAAAAAAAAAGTGAAGATGAGGAGAAAGCAGGAGATGACTTTCAGGGTTCCAGCCCACTACACGTTCCACCTTGAACACCCATAGCAACAAGCCCGGTGTAGCTGCTGAACACTGCTGGGTGTGGCACATAAACTTGGGAAAAGGATGGGGGTGGAGGGGATAAGAAATCACTAAGACAGGTAACTTTTTGGATAAGTTTTCCCTTGAGTGGTGCAGAGAAATGTAACAAGTCAAAACAGAATGTGAGAGCAAATGATTATTCATAAAAGTAGAGTTTTACAGCTTGTCAGATCTGATGGATGTGATGCAGGAGAAAAGGAAACTCTTGAATGAAGAGACTGAAGGAGAATACAGTGGGCAATACTGAGTAAGGGTTGTCTTCAACAGGTGAGGGGCTGACAGAAATGGAAAATTGGAACAGATAAGCTCTTGTTTCTACTTTTTCAAATACATTCAGATGTTTAACAGATAGGACATGGGAGGGCTGGAAAGTCGGGAGACGGGCAGAATTGCCTGAAAGTGTGGGGCAGTGATTGCCTCGGGAAACAGAGGAGTGAACGACTGGAAAACCCACTGTTGGCTGCTGGGCATGGATTTCACTGAGACTATGCACCGCGATTCCGTTTTTCCTCCTGTTAGTTGATCTGCATTTCGCGCGCAGGAAGGAGACAACTGATTATGAGATCTGAAATGGTTAAGGCGGGACCCGCAAAGAGACTCAAAAGACAGCAGGATCAATGGATTCCAGGTCCTGGCAGGAAGAACTGTGGGATGGGGCTCTCAGTTCCTCTGCATAGACTAGGTCAAGATCGCGGAGGCACCCTTCGGGAGAAGCTTTTCATCTCTCCCCAATCTAGAAAAGGCGAATCCACACTCCACTCCGCCTCCTTTGTCAGGAGAGGTTTTACGAGTGGACTCGGCTCCAGGGGCCAGTCCTTCCCCTTCTTTCCCCACCTCTCGGGGCGTTCAAGGCTGGACGTCTAGCGGGCGGCCCCTCCCCAACTCACTCTTTAGATCGGTGTTGGGCGTCGCTAGCCGCTGGCGAAGGATTTCTTTCCAGTCCATAGCTGACTCCCGCGCTCCGGCGCCAACATTTGCTCTTTGGACGAGCTGCGGTTCCAGCCCCCAGAGGCACAGACGTCAAACCCCGCCCAACCGCGTAAAGGTTAGGAAAGTCCCTCGGCCGCCATCTTGGATGAGGGCGGAAGTCGGTTAAGGAGGGGGCAACACTATTAACTAGAGCCACCGCAGGCAATACGACGATCGAGCTAACGGGGGTGCGGGAAACAGATGTGAAAGAGAGAGAAAAATAATTCTCCTTTGGGAAGCGCCCCTACTTCAGCAACTCCGATTTTAAAGCCGCGCTTCCACGTCTTCATGTTGGGCCAGAGCGCATGCGCACCACGTGACCCGGGACGCCATTGGCTTTTGAATAAAACTAGGGATAAAACTTTCTTCACTATGTTTTTGTGTGACCCAATGTGGCTATTTGGAGTCGTTAAGGGCAGGAGGCGCTTTAGGCAGCTTCAGCTATCCACAGTTTGCCTCCAAAAGTTTCAGAGTTGCCTTTTCTCGAGTCGATGGGGGGGGGTCCGTAAAACATCTGCTTCCGGTTCAGGCTCACGATGCGGTGCATTGTGGACTCTGTAGTTTCCTCCGCGTTTATGGTGCATTGAGTGCGAGTGCGGCGTGAGCTGGTAAATGGTGTGAACTTCGTTTGTGTTCGGGTCGTGCATAGTAGGTCGTGCCCTTGTTCGATCTCCCTTAGCCGAGGGGGCTCCAGTGAATCCCCGCCCCAGCCTCTTCTTACGAGTTCGGCGGTCTTAAGCAGAGTTGATCTGCGGGGCTGGGGCCACCGGACTTGGCTTTTCGCTGTTCTCCCGGGTTATGGTGGTTCTGGAGTTGGGGGCGCCGGATCGCAGTGTTTCTCCGTACTCCTTCTCGTCTTCAGCAAGGCTCCCGTTGGATTCTGCCCCTTTTTGAGGACTGCTGTGATCGAATAAATTTTAAGCGTTCCTTATGCTTTTCCCGCAGGTTCGCAGATTGGAATCTTAACAAGCACCAGAAAATTTCTTCCGTGACCCTTGGTTCTCGGGCTTGTGACCGAGATTGGATGTATCAGAGTGCTTTTTAAGGAATTTTCCAGACTTTGTTGCTATTAAGTAGGCCCAAAAGCTGAACCTTGATTTGTGAGAAACTGCAAATCAACCTTTTTTTTAAAGTTGTCCCAGAACTTTTCCGTACCTTCACCCTCCGCCCCTTAATTACACTCAAGAAGAAGGGGCTTGTCGCCGAAAGACCGTTCCTGATAACGCGCTTCCTTGCATAAGGCCAACTCAGATTCCACGCCCGGCATCATGTATGGACCCCCCCATCTTCACCAGGAGTGATCCCTGAATGCAGAGAAAAGTGTAAGCCCTAAGCTTCGCCGGGTCGGGCTCCAAGTAAGCCGGAGTTTCTGGAACATCTCTACCTGGTGCTGATTCACTGCATCATGAATTTCTATTTCACTAGCATTCGCAGCTTTCCTAAGCTCTGGACAAGTTGCCAATACCTAGGACTAGGGCCAGGACAATCTTCTCTCACTCATTTGGAACATTGTTGTGGCCTCAAGAACCAAAAGAAGTGGTTTTCTTGTAAAACAGTTTCTCCACAAAATACCAAAGCAAATAATCTGCTGATTGCCAAGGCCAGATATCGCAGGAAAGGAGATGAGGACAACAATAAGCAAGTGCCTTCTGAGTCTCCTCATTTTTTTGCAGCTGGATCTGCTAAGAAGAGATCACAGAATAGTCATCCAAATAAAGAGCAGGTCTTGCCACCTTCAAGGAAATCTTTTCAGGTCCCAACAGAACCTCTGACTTCAGAGCAGTGGTCTAAACTTAAGGCAGATTTTAAAGGAAAAGCTAACTTTGAAAATTGGATCATTTCACAAATGGTCCGCGCTCACAGCTCTGTGGATGTGGCCAAGTCTCTGCTGGCTTGGGTAGCTGCAAAGAACAGTGGTATTGTAGGCTATGATTTACTGGTCAAGTATTTGTGTCTCTGTGTCTTTCATAAGCAGACATCAGAAGTCATTGACGTCTATGAAATCATGAAAGCCCGATACAAGAGCTTAGAATCGGGAGCCAATACTCTTCTCATCCGAGGCTTAATTCATTCGGACAGATGGAGAGAGGCAGTGCTATTGCTAGAGAACATCAAAAAAGTCATGGTGCCTTCAAAAAGCAATTATAATGAGTGTATCCAGGGAGCACTCCTTCATCAAGATGCAAACTTAGCTTGGAGTTTGTATCAAGAATTGTTAGATTATGAACTTATTCCTCTGTTGGATACTTTTAAAGCCTTCTTCGATTTTGGAAGAGGCATGAATGATGATCAATATGCAAGGAAGCTACAAGATATTCTCTTATATCTAAGAAATAATCGACTATACCCTGGGGAATCACTTGCACACAGTATAAAAACATGGTTTGAGAGGTAATTTTTATTTTTCTTTATATGTATGTTATTTTTATTATTATTATTATTATTATTATTAGCTTTTTGGGTCACACCTGCCAATGCTCAGGGGTTACTCCTGGCTCTGCACTCAGGAATTACTCCAGACAGTGCTTGGATGTTGGGGATTGAACCTGGGTTGGCTGCATGCAAGGCAAACACCCCACCCACTGTAGTATCACACTTCCCCCTATATGTATGTTTTAATATCTCTCATGCCTAGGCTCTGACAGATAATAATGGGTAAAGTTTCACCTCTACCTTGCATGTAACTCATCCTACTCCATCCCTGGCACCATGTGGTCCATTGAGCATCATTGGGCAAACCTTGGAGTTTCCTGAGCACACTGGACAGTTCTAGACAGTCCTGGACCCACGGCAGTGCATTCTGCATCCCTGGGCCCTGTTTGTGGGAGGCACCCTGCCATCCTGAGCACTGTTTGGGAGCCCTCTCAACCTCCAAAATCTGTTTCTAAAAGTAATTTTATTTCCCTGTTAGTTGCTGAGAATTAATTTATTTTGATACTAGTTTCTCTCTTAGTAAGATTTATTTCCTCTTTAAATTTTCTTCTGTAAGAGTAGCATGAACAAGTTATGCTAATAGCGCTGTCTTCCCGTTGTTTATCGATTTGCTCGAGCAGACCTAGTAATGTCTCCATTTTGAGAGACTTGTTGTTACTGTGCTTGGCGTATTGAATACATCACGGGTAGCTTGCCTTGCTTTGCCGTGAAGGCTGATACTCTTGCTAGCTTCCTGGGCACTCCGAGAGGGGCAGAGGAATCGAACCCGGCTTGACTGGGCTGGCTGTGCGCAAGGCAAATGCCCTACCACTGTGCTATTGCTCCAGCCCTTATGCTAATACTCTTCCATAAAAGGAAAAAAATTTTTCATTACCTAGAAGGGAAATTAAAGAGCTTTGGAAGGAAACAAATGAGGAAACATAGATAGTTTAGTTTACTTTCTGGTGCTTGATCCTAGTAGAATGTGAGAACTTTTCTGTGTTTTTCATGGCACGTTCACAGCAAGGAAACTGACCCAGACTTTGGGTCATATTCTTATTAAGGTTTTCATATACTCTTTCTGCTGGAGCGATAGCACAGCGGGTAGGGCATTCGCCTTACAAGCGGCCAACATGGCCGACCCGAGTTCGATTCCTCCGCCCCTCTCGGAGAGCCCGGCAAGCTACCGAGAGTATTCGATATGCCAGACACAGTAACAACAAAGTCTCCAATGGAGACGTTACTGGGCCCGCTCGAGCAAATCGACGATCAACGGGAGGGCCTTTACCTTTACCTTTATACTCTTTCTACTCAGTTATAAAGCGTGCATATATATTCTATTTAATCTCTGCTTTTTATTTCAGATTGGACAGTTAGAGGGGATCCTGCTCAACCTTGATATGCGAACATTAGAAAATATTCTTTCAGTTCATTTTTGGCTTTTCTATTATTTGATTCTAGGTTCTGTTATTTGCTCCCCCCCCCCCCCCCGTTATTCATGTGACTGTGCACTTTTTATATTTATTTGTTCACCCCTGGTTTTCTCAGGTTGTTCCTGAAAATTCACTCCTCTGTATTTTTTTCTTGCTTTTCTACTAGATAGCAGAATTTGGGAGTAACTGTCATGCTTAACTAGCTAATGAACAAATGTTAAATGAATACCAGTGGAGGAGCCAAATTATGAACATTGTGTGAGCGTGGGGTTTCCAAACAGTGATTAGGGGACCCAGGGATGACTCCTAGTGATACTCAGCAAATTGATGGGGAAGTTCAATGCTAGGGCCTGAGAATAAAGAGCACTTTGGGCCTTAAGGGATTCAGGGACCAGCAGAGCCACACTGGCATTGAGGTAAGGGGTCAGACATATGGTATCATTGTATCATTGTCATCCCATCGTTCGTCAATTTACTCTAGCGGGTGCCAATAATGTCTCTTCCTTCCAGACTGAGATTTTAGCAGCCTCTCCTTACTCGTCTTTCTCAATGATTGGAGGCTCTTTCAGGGTCAGGGGAATGAGACCTGTTGTAGTTACTGTTTTTGGCATATCAAATAAACCATGGGGAACTTGCCAGGCTCTGCCCATGTGGGCAGGATACTCAGGATACTCTTGGTAGCTTGCGGGGCTCTCCAAGATATATATATATATATATATATATATATATATATATATATATATATAAAGGCTGGAGCAATAGCACAGCGGTGGGGCGTTTGCCTTGCACGCAGCCAACATGGCCGACTTGAGTTCGATTCCTCCGTCCCTCTCGGAGAGCCCGGCAAGCTACCAAGAGTATCTCGCCCGCACGGCAGAGCCTGGCAAGCTCCCCCTGATATACTCAATATGCCAAGCACAGTAACAACAAGTCTCATGATGGAGATGTTACTGGGCCTGCTCGAGCAAATCGATGAACAGCGGGAGGACCGTGATACCGTGATATATATATATATGTATATATATATTCTCTATGATTTTGCTGCCTGCTATCTAAACCCCATCAAATATGGTGTGGTAGAAAATGGGTAGGAAGTGTCTTATGATGTGTTGTGCGGCTGCAAAGTGGCTGCGCGGTCCGGAAAGCGACCTGGAGTAGGGAGGCCATTGGATATTGGAGGTTGGGTAGTGGAGGTCGGCTGCCAGGGCTGGTACCGGATTTCAAATCTGGGTCTCAGTGCCAACAAAGCATTTACCCCTGGCCACTGAATTACCTTCTCAGCCCCCTGAAAGCCTTTTCGTGTCCAGGATTTGGGATTTTATTCTGTTATCAAGAGCCAGTCTTCTGCCTGGAGTTTTAGAAAGCTTGCAGCTGAGACAAAAGGCGCTTGAATCCCCTGCACCGCATATGGCCCCTGGTGCACTGCCAGAAGCCCTAAGCACTACCAGGTGTGAACTTAAAACAAACTCAGCAACAAGAATAGAAATTTACTGCCAAAGCAATGAGGAAAGATTGATGAGAGGTTAAGATTAGAAACTGGGAGAGTTATTTAGAGACAGCTGTGGGTTTGAATGAGAACTGATAAAATCTTGAATTAAGGGCTTAAAAGAGATAGGAGGTGACTGCTAACCCTGCATATGGTCCCAGGAGCACCGACAGGGGTTTCTTCTGAGCCCAGAGCCCAGAATAGCCCCAGGATACAACCAGTCTTGGCTTAATAAAAAAAAATCTTGAATTAAGAACTGGTGATATAAAGAATGCAGTGGAATCAATAACTCTGTGTGTGTGTGTATAAAACATAAGTAAAAGGAAAAGTACTCATTGAATGATAAATCAATAAGTTTCGAATGCCTTACCTGTGAATGTTTGTGACATGTATTACGATGTTATATCTGATAGGTAAGTGAATTTGCTGAGAGGAGAGAGGTGGACTAAATGCATGCTTTGTAGGAGGCCTGGGTTCATCCCTGGGTTCCATCCTTGGCACTTTATTGTCTGTAGTGCTCTAGTGCTGGGAGTTGCCCCTGAGCACTGCTGTGTGGCCCCAAAATAAACAAAATAGTGGTATGGGATGGTTGTATAGGGAAGGAGAGAAGTTGAAGTAGGAAGAACTATGTGGCAATTTTATGGAGAAAGTTAGAGTTGAAATTGATTTGCAGCTGGGTTACAGATGTCTGTTTAAGGCCCTGTAAAGTTGGATACCAGCTGGATGAGGGTTAGGTGACAGGAGGGAACCTGAAGGCATGAAGAAGGTCCAGCCTGGCAGAGCAGCTGTGAGTGAGCCCTTCCTCAGTTTGGCAGCCCCTCTTCTAAACCATTCAGGAAAAATCTGGAACTCTTAAGCCTCTTACTTGCAGAGTATCTAAATACAGTGACTGTCTTAAGAACTCAGCAGAAATCTGATCTTCTGATGACTTGTTCCATTATCTTTTTTGTAGCGTTCCTGGAGAACAATGGCAGGGACAATTCACTACAATTCAGAAAAGGTAAAGGCTAATTTTAGTTTTAATTTGTTTGATTCAGCTACTGTTGTTGTTGTTGCTAAATGATTTTTAAATCAAGAAAGAAAAAAAATGGCATGCTTTGTGTTTGGAGAAGTAAACATGTCTATGTGTGTGCTTAAGTGCCATGGGCAGCGTCCTAGAGTTTAGGGGTCCTGTTGTATTTTAGGAACAACTTTAAAGTTTTCATTTGAATATGCAGCTGGCTATTCTGTGTTATGTTTGTTTTGTCTTTGGGCCACACCCAGTGGTAGTCAGGGGTTAACTCCTGGTTCTGCACCAAGAATCACTCCTGGCAATGCTGGGAACCCTGTGAGATGCTGGGCATAGAACCTGGGTTGATGGCATGCAAGGCGAGCACCCTACTCACTGTACTGTCTCCCTGGCCCCTGGCTATCTTTTTGAGTTTTCTAAAATACTAATGTGTCATATTATCATGTTTATGAAAAAAAATCAGTTGCATGACATGCTCAAAAGTGTTCTGATGCACTTTTATTTAACATTACCTTTTAACTTATCTATGTCCTAGAATTACTCATTTTAGAAAAAAAAATTTTTTTTTCCTCCAAAGACACTAATATCATCAGTTGTATTTGCAGTGGTCAGTGCTTGAACTGTGGAAAAACCATAGAGTCTAGTCAGCTGAGTTCAGAGGACTATGACTATCTCCAGGGGAAAATCATGAAGGATGTGATCGATGGAGGTGACCAGTACAAAAAGACAACACCTCAGGTAAGTCCAGAATACCCTCACTGCGTTTTTGGGTTTCTTGTCAGGAGCAGAGACCAGTGATTTTTTTTTTCTGTAAAATGCTAGATAGTTAGGGGCTGGAGCAATAGCACAGTGGGTAGGGCGTTTGCCTTGCACGTGGCCAACCCGGGTTTGATTCCCAGCACCCCATATGGTCCCCTGAGCACTGCTAGGAGTAATTCCTGAGTGCAGAGCCAGGAGTAACCCCTATGTATCGCCAGGTGTGACTCAAAAAGAAAAAAAATAATAATAAGCTAGATAGTTAATATTTTATGTTTTATGAGCTATAGAATCTCAGTTGTAACTTTTCTGCTCTTTAGTGAAAAGAATAGCAGAAAGAACATGACTTTCAGTAAAACTGGGTTCCTTAAAACAATCTGTAGACAAGGTTTGGGCTTCTGAACATAGTTGCCAACCCTTACTTTGGAATTTTATAAAATAATTGGGTTAGTGGGCCAGAGAGATATTATGTGAGTAAGGTGTTACTTTGTATACAGCCATTCTGGGTTCAGCCCCGAGCTCCACATGTGGTCCACAAACCCTGCTCGAGCCAGTAATAAGCTCTGAAGACAGCTGAATGTTGCCCAAGTCCTCTCCCACCTCTTCTCTCCCGTGTATATAAAGAAACTAAACTATCATTCAATCATCTGAAGTCATTCATATTTCATCTGGTCAGAAATGCTCTTAAACTAAAAGATACTTGCTTATTTTTCTCTGAGCGCTTCCAGAAAGAGTGTTATAAAACAATTTTTATTTTATTTTTGTCCCGAAATAGCATTATAGTTTCTCACAACTCTAGTCAAAAGAGCATAAGGATACCTTGAAAAATGTATTTCCAGGAATAGTCTAATAAAGAACCAAGAGTAGTTTGCATGTATTATTGTCAGGAAAGATTGGAGCAAGATGATGATTTGTATTTGTTTCCTACTCAAAAGTCTATTGCAGTCTCATTTATCTCTAGCAGTAGTTCTCCAGAACAGAAGTTTCAGCATCTCTGAGCCCTGCATTGGCCTCACCCAGCAGTCAATTGTAGGTTTTGGTGGGGATGCAGGGGAAGGAGGGTTTTAGATCGGAAGACTCTTCAGTTTTGGGAGTCAGACCCATGCCTCTTGCTTGCAAAGCGTAGCCTCAACTCCTCTTGCTGTCTCTCTGTCTTAGCAGTCTTTGTTTAAAAGGACCCCATCAGTTGATTCTGATTCATGTTGAAGTTTGAGAATTATTGCTCTGTGTTAGGTTGCAGTTAGTATATAGATTGATAAAAATAATTATGTGCTTTAAAAAAAAGAAAAATTTATTTCCAAGTGCTTATGGTATTAGATTCTTCTTCTATAATAAATAGCTTAATTTTTGAAATCTATAGTGCTTTATGCTAGTTTACTAAAACAAATGAAGGAGAAACATTCTTTCTTTCCTAGGGGAAAGCTTCCATCTTTTCATGAAATGCTCTTTTCTTCTCATATTCACTTAGAATTGTCTGAAATTGTCTAGATCATATATAGAGACTTTTAACACTCTGAATAAAGTAAGAATTTGGCTCTTAAACCATTACATATCCCTGGATGGAAGTCAGTAGCCTTGCATGTGTGAGGTTATGGGTACAATCCGTGGCTCTTCAAAACAACAAAACAAAAAAATTATCTGCAGTTTATGCTGACTTTAATGATAAAAATGACAGTTAACATTTATTAAAGACACCAAGTATCTTATAAACCTAACCCGATTTGTCACTTAACCCTTCCAACTGCCCTATTAGATAGCCCATTTTATTTTACAGAGAGAGTTGAGTGAGACTTTGGGAGAGTAGATTTTCCCAATTCCTGCAAGGTGTCTAATTTCACTCCAAAACTTTGCTTTTATTCTCTATTGCTTCTCTTGAAAGTAAAAAGTTATGGTAGAAATCCATTCTTCCATTGATGCCTCATAGCCAACTGTTGGCAGCAGCTTTAATGCCTCTGGGATTTTTGCCAGTTAAAATAGGTTTAGACAAATTTTCTTATCTCTCAACAAACATCTCTTGAGCATTTCTGAAATAGGTTTTAGTATGGAGACAACATTATGTGAGTCATGTTATGTGTCTTATCATTTCTATTTTAGGCTAATTAATATTCTTCCTACCCTTTTTTTTTATGCCTTTTGGGTCACTCCTGGCCATGCTTAGGGGTTACTCCTGGCTCTGTACTCAGGAATTGTTCCTGACAGTGCTTGAGGAACATATGGGATGCCAGGGATAGAACCTGGGTTGGCCACATGCATGGCAAACACCTTACTTGCTGTACTGTCTCTCTGACTCCCCCCCATCAATTTTTTATTTAATAAAATTTCTATCTAGGCAAAAAAAAAGAGTAGAGATGATACCTACATACTTTTCATCTAGAACTGAGGATCCCAAACATACTTGGCCGTACTACTTCTTTTTTCTTTCCAGAATAAAATAAAATCATGCAGCACCACCCCCTCTGTAAATATTCATTTTTAAAACAAACAAACAGAAAGTACTCCCCATTTGTACCCGAGGTTACTATTGTTCCCACTTTGGATCATTCTAGTGTGCCTCAACTTTTTTTTTTTTTTTGGAAGGAAAATATTATTTATTTTTTTTTTTAATTTATTTATTTATTGAATCACTGTGGGAAAGGTTACAAAGCTTTCAGGTTTAGGTCTCAGTCATGCAAATATCAAACACATTTCCCTTTACCAATACTTATTTTTTACCATGAAGAACCCCAATAAGACCCCACCCCCCACCCCTCCCAGTCCCTGTGAGGCAGATGAATTCTAGTTAACACTCTATCTGCTTTGATTAGATTCATTGTTTCATTAAAAGATTCACCACTATTATTTAGAGTTTACCCCCCCACCCCAAATCAGACATGCTGAAAAAGCATTGTGAAGTGATTTGCTTTCTACAGCTGGGTTCAAGAATTAAATGTTGGTTTTGGATTTCTGCTATTTTACTTATTGACCCTGGAAGTATTTCTACTGAAAGTCAGATAGTTAAGAAATTGGTTTCTGTGCTCTGGAGTCGTGGCCTTGCTGGAGAGCCGCTCGTGGGGGGCAACTGGTGGCCTCGGTAGGGCGTGAAGGGCGGACCGAAACGCCCCCCTTCCCATGAGGTTTTAGTCGCCCCCACACCCCCGGCTCATACTTGCTGTCCACAAGGCTCCCATGCAGCCGCCATCTTTCTTTCCAGAGAGGAGAGGGCGACTGGGGCAGCACCCTTTCCCCTCCGGACAGACATGATGGCCTGGATTAACGCATAGTCCTTTCACTTTTCTGCTCCAAGCTGCCGGGTTCTGCATTAAGTCCTTGTGCTTCTGGGGCCGTGGCTATGCTGGAGAGCCGCTCGCGGGGGGGCAACTGGTGACCTTGGTAGGGCATGAAGGATGGACCGGAACGCCCCCCCTTCCCATGAGGTTTTAGTCGCCCCCACACCCCCGGCTCATACCTGCTGTCCACAAGGCTCCCATGTGGCCGCCATCTTTCTTTCCAGAGGGAGGAGGGTGGAAGGGAGCAACACCCTTTCCCCTCCGTGTGCCTCAACTTTTACCAGTGATATCAGCCACTTTGGGAAGAACTAATCTAGTCTAACAGTTGTTAATATTTTGGGTAGCCTGGGGATCCACACCAGTCTGCATTAGGCCTTCATCCTGGTGAGGCTCAGGGAATTATATATGGTGCCAGGGATCACACCTGGGTCAGCTGTGTGCAAGGCCCTACCTTCTTTACTATTGCTCTGGTCCCCAAGATGGAAACTTAAAGTACAGTGCACACTTTTCTTTTATCTAATGAGGAACATCAAACAATCTTACAAATCTCTTTGTACCCTAATATTTAGCAATGAATATAGGGATGTCTAATGATCAGAACTAAGATTTTTGAAAACATAAATATAAACTTTACACTTAGCTCTGCTATTTAAAAAAAAAACCTGACTTGGCAAAGTCTCTTAACCTTTCTGAGGTCTCACAGGAAAAGAGGTGGCACCTTCCTTGCAGAACAGTCACAAGGATTAGAGATTACAGATACAGAGGTGTTAGGAATTATCTGGGCCACCCCAGTGTTGCTAGGAGCACCCCAGTATGCCATGGGGATCAAACCAGGGTGGGCCATATACAAGGCATGCTATCTCTGTGTCATCGTTTGGCCCCTCTCTCCACTTTTTTTTTTTTTATAGTGAGACATCATGAGGTAGAGTTGCAGACTTACACATTTTTGTGCTTGGGTTTCAATTATACAATGATCAAATACCCATCCCCCCACCATTGCCCATTTCCCACCACCACGGATCCCAGTATCCCTCCCACCCCCCTGTCCCCCAATTCCACCCTGCCTCTGTGGCAGGACATTCCCTTTTGTTCTCTCTCTCTTATTGGGTGTTGTGGTTTGCAAAAGAGGCAATGGGTGAAAATCATGTTTGATCTATAGTCTACTTTCAGCATGCTTCTCCCATCTTGGGAGGATCCTCCCAACACCTTTATTTGGTGCTCCCTTCTCTATCTGAGCTCCCTTTTCCCTTAGCATGTGTGGTTGGCCTCCAAGCCATGGAGTAAAATTCCTGGTACTAATCTCGGCCATTCTTGGCTGTTGGTCTCCTATTTTGTTACTTTATGTTCCCCAGATGAACACAATCTTCCTATGTCTATCCCTCTCTTTCTGACTCTTTTCGCTTAGCATGATACTTTCCATGTTGTACCACTTGTATGTAAATTTCATGACTTCATCTTTTCTAACAGCTACATAGTACTCCATTGTGTAGATGTACCAAAGTTTCTTTAACCAGTCATCTGTTCTCGGGCACTCAGGTTTTTTCCACATTCTGGCTATTGTAAAGAGTGCTGCAGTGAACAAACAAGTGCAGATGTCACTTCAACTATACTTTTTTGCCTCTCTGGGATATATTCCCAGGAGTGGTATTGCTGGATCAAATGGGAGCTCAATTTCTAATTTTTTGAGAATCATCCATACTGTTTTCCAAAAGGGCT